TAAAGCAGCAGGTTACCCAAGGATATACAGAAAAAGCAAAATGTCATACAGGACTTCCAGTCTTTCTGGTCTCATATCCACAATATGTAAGTAAGGAGAGCATGAGCTCATCTCACAGAGAGGGTTGAAGATGATCCTTTCTCCTCCCTTCCCCTGGGGACCAGCAGAAGGGACTGTCCCTATGTTATACTGATGCTGCTGTCTATCACCTAAGCCATGCCAGGCACAATCACAAGTCACCTTGGTAATCTTCATTCCAGACCTGGACTCTCTCTGCTGTCAGGTAACACCATTGGTGTGGGACAAGATGTTTGCATCAGCCAGGAAATTACACAATTGACATGTTTTTAAAAAATTAGCATTACTTATTTGCCAGCAAAGACTGACTGGGCAACACCCTTCATCATATTTCTTTTGATGATATTTCTAGTTACAGATTTTCTGTTGAGACAATTAATTCTTTGCCCAAGTCATAAGCTCAATAATGTTGATGTGAATTGAAAGGGAATCAGTTGCATTTGTTGGTGTTACAATAAGGGTAATTAGAAGAGATGAGGGCAGGATGCATCTCCTTGTCTCTCATAGTTTTGTCCTTAGCATTTTGAATACAGTGATACTTTGAGAAGTTCTTAAAAAATTTATGAATTGATGATAGGGGAAGTTTAGGATTCTGATTTTTATAAAGCTTGATTGGTTTCAAAAGCAATTACACTGCTTGGAAAATTTTACTTTGTAAAGCAAGGTCATTTCAGTATTTTTTGTTATTTTAACATTTCTTTTCGGTTCAATATTAAGTGGAAATGTAACAAGAAATAAAGACTGCACTTCATGTTTACAAACAGATCAAGAATTTGAATCTGGAATCAGACTTTGTATGAGAAATACCAGATTGCAGTAATGAGATTTTCTTCCTAGCACCTTTCTTAAGCCTGATAATAGCAATGATATGTGGTGCTTTGTCATGGCATATGGTCGCACAGCTCTGCTCGGTAGTGCATGATAGCAAATATGAGAAAGGGCTGTGTTGAGACAACGAAAAGAGTTTTTTCATTGCTCTGGCATCAGAAGTTTCAGTGCCAGAGGGGTTTTGGCCTGAATGTTTACAGGGATGACTGTACTTTGAGATGTTCTGTATATAAAATGAATGGGTGTTTTTATAAATATGTATATATCTATCTGGGCAGGGCTCCTTATGAAGACAAAGTGGACTAAATACAGATTGAGGGAACATAAAACAGACATGTCCAGCTTTCTGACAAGTTAGTGCAAAGATTATACTTTAACAGTGAATTCAGGGGCCAGGCAGCAAATACATTGCATCATATTGCACAAGGGAGAAAGGCATTCAAGAGGCCAGCAGGGTTTCTAACAGGAAGAGTCAACCCAAAAATCACCAACCTGGCAGCCTTGAAATTGCACTTTTCTTTAAGGTTAACATCACTGTTTAACTTCAAAGATTTGAAATTTTGTAGATATGCAAGCCCAGGTCACAGAACTGCAGAATATGCTGAGTTGGAAGGAACCCACAAGGATCATCAAATCCAACTCCTGACCCTGCACAGGACCATCCCCAAGAGTCACACCATGTGCCCAAGAGTATTGTTCAAACACTTCTTGAACTCTGTCAGGCTTGGAGCTGTGACTACTTTCCTGGGGAGCCTGTTCCAGTGCCCAACCACCCTCTCAGTGAAGAATCATCTTCTAATATCCAACCTAAACATCCTCTGACACAACTTCAGGCCATTCTCTCAGGACCTGCCCAGCAAGACTGGCATGTATTTATCAGTGTAATTCAGAGCGTGATGGTCTCTTGAATTAATCTCTCGGTATAGATGGATGTTAAACAGCTCATGAAGATTTTCTTTAGATGAAATGTTTTTCTTGCCACCCCTGTAGAGATTAATTCAGTGGCCACAACTGTTGGAATACTGAAGAAAGCACCTGGTCTCATAGGCCCAGCAGCAGATTTTCCACTGGGCACAGAATAAGTCTGGCAGATATGATATGAAAAATGAGGCTTCTGTTCCAGGATTAGTGCTATACAAAATGTCTTATGTGATTTTATGTATTTGATTTTTTTATGGCTATAAATTTTAGAAGTCCAAAATGTTTTATTATTGGAGTTGGAAGTCTTTGAAGTCAAACTGTAAGAGAATGGTCTTGAAATGTGCGAAATTAATGGGCATTTCTAGTACGTTGCTGATTCTTATGAAGAGATACTCTATTGGAAAGAAATACTGCCAAAATACATGGGAAGGACTGTGCTTCTTGGACTTTTTGCACCATTTTGAGGAGGCTGATAGGCAATTCAGCTAGCCATAAGCAACTAGGTAAGTAGGTTTGTGCAGCAACTTAGATAAAGTGGGTCAATGCATGCATTTGCCTGAGCTCTCTGCCATGTAAATAGATAACGCAGTGGTGGGCACAGTAGAGTTGACGGATGGATTAGATGGACTAATGTGAGCAGCAGCTGCACATACTCAGTTTCCCAGATCTGTTCTAGGCTTTTCTGGGCCTGAGTCAACCACCTGTGCACATATGTGTCATATTAATCATGGTGTTGTTCTGCCTTTTTATTTTTATTGACTCCATATTATTTGCTATAAATTCTGATTTTGCAATTATGAATCATCTCACTCCCTTCTACAATCTCCCTTCCTCATGTTGCAAAACAAATTTAAATTCAGTCAGTGTCTACTGACATCAACCAGTTTGGTTTTATGTTGTGGTATGCCACCCTTAAGTGTACAATGCTAAATTTACAGATAGAGCTGCTTTATATGTACAGGAAAGTTACTACCCAGTCATTCCACCCTATTGTCCTAAATTCTTTAGAAGCACTGTTGCTTCTGAGAATCTCCAAGCACTATGTTCCCCATCAAGGTTTCTTCTTTTCTATTCAAGGGGATGGTGGGATTTGAAGTCACCCACCTGAACTCACCTAACTGGGTCACGAAACATTTCTTTGCTATTTTTCACTTGCAGCAAATACCTCATTTGAGATTGCTGGGGACCCCTGGTTACTCCCAACATGAAGTTGGGAGCACACTAGGGTCTTTTCCCAACACAAAGTGCTCTATTCACTAAGTCACATATGCGTTTTGATGACTTCTACCGAAAAAAAAGGAATCAGAGTTGGGGGCGGAAAAGTTAACAACCCCTGCCTAACAGCATCAACACAACCCAGCCCCATTTTTTTTAATTGTACCAAACTATGATTTAGAGAAATATAAATTTCAAGATGGATGCAAATCTCCTTCCAATATCTGCTGAGCAGAGGGGAGCAGTGGAGGGCTGTGTTCCTGGCCACACCTGTAAACCCTGTTCCCCCAGAAGCCTTAGCCATGTCCAAGCAGAGATGGTAGACCAGGTTATCAGGCTTTCCCTGGCAAGTATTTCTTCTGCTTGCCACTATGCAGAGATCTGCCAAGTCATGTTAACAACCTTACTTGTGCAAATGTTCCTTCCTTGCCACATGTAACACCTTGGGGAAATTTTCAACCTGAAAGCTTCAAAATCAGCTGCAAAAAATTCAATATAAACACTTCCCAGCATTGCATCAAAATACAAATGCTACAAACAGAATTGGAGGGTTGGGATTAAATTTCTTTAATTTTTCAGAAGCTGTTAGGCTTTCTTGGTGCTGTCCTTTTTTCACATGGTTCCTAGTCCTCTCTTTGCATCTGTGGTGCATCTGTGCATATTTACTGCAGAGTGTGCAGAGGTACACAAATTTTATCTTTTCTTTTTAATCTTCCTCCAAATGGCAGTTTTCTCAGCAGTATTTTCTTATGTTTGCATAGCAAAGTGTGGTTTTCCTCTATGAAACAAGCAAGAAGTGCAGAGTCCCATGATTATATCTGGGTTATGACATTTTAGTTGTACTTAACAGCAGATTTATTTTTTCAAAATTTCTTTTGGTTCTGTGCTATAATATGCATTCTGTGCTGCTAACCTTCATAATGATTTTTTTCCTGAGGATGCTCAGCCAGTACAGAACTCTGACCTGTACACCCAGGATGGTAAAGACGTATACTTCCTATAATAAACTCTTTTTTCTGCTTACTCCTATTCAACCTAACCACCTGCAGAATGCACACCCATTTTTTATGTTTCATTGATGATCTGCTCAGGCAGAGTCGTAAATTCTGTTCATCAGGTCCTTTCCAGGTCTATGTGCAATTGTGGTTGTCAGTAAATTGCCCTGAAGCCTGTGGAAACAGCAGAGATTTTTTCACTCTCCTCCATAGAGCTTGAAGTCTTACTCTCTGTTTCTATCAGACATAGGATATTGATATGGAGCTCAAAAAGGATAAGTGTTACTGTGCCATGAGAACTTCATGTGGCAAGTCAAGGTGTGCCATTTTTGTACGATTTTTTTTCACAGATTTGAGGCAGAGTTCTAAAAATCTCTTGATGGAACATACACGCCTCTCCCTGAAGTGATTCTTGTGCTCCTACTTTGGAAACAATTAAGCATAGTTCCACTAAAATAATCAGAAATGTACTGAATTACAGTACCTAAAAATCTGCTTGTTCTGGACATAAATAAATGCAAAAGTCTGCATTGCCTGTCCTCGTTTGTCAGTTTTCCTGCATTCAGTAGGAAAGTAAGGACAGATGGAAATTGTATGCAAGTACCAAGTACACAAAATTTTCAGTAAGATATCTGTTCATATGCACATATACATATGAAGAGAGAGACAGAGTCCTTATTCATGTGTGTACTTTGCATGACAGGAGAGCCAGAAGAGAAAAACAAAGTTTTTCATAAGTAACAAAATATAATTTTGAAAGAAAAAGAAAGAAAGAAAAGTTGGCAATGCCTGGTTGATCTATTCTTTCTTTGCATATTTATTTATTTCTAGTGTGTTATAAGACCCTAGGGTATTTTGACTCCTCACTTACTCCAGTGTGACTCCATCGTCTTCTCTGTTTCTGAACCGATATACCAGAACATACCACCAAACTGATATTAGTTCCCATGCTTTGTTACACAGATGTGATGCAGAGCAGAAACAAACCAATCCTGAGGCCAGACATGTGGTGGATTGTGATTACAAAGATCAGTAATGAGGACAGCACCCTACACTTACTCCAATGGTTTCTGGTAAATCTTCCCTTTTTTATTCTCCTTAAAAAAAAAAAAGAATTAATAACATGATTATGAAACACTCCATTCCTCCTCATATCCTGAGCAGTGAACCAATTGCCAGAAACATTTCATAGCACTGGTGAGAATTTACACTATAAATCATTTTCTTTGAGATAGGAGAGTTTTGGCTCTTTCCAGACACAAATTGCATCTCAAGCTCTGCTGCTGCCATGTGCTGCACAGACTGCCCCAGTGCGTCTCCTGGTACATTCACTAAGAGCTGCTGCCTGCAAAAGTGAAGCCTTGGTGCATGTATCAGGTTTTGGGTGTTTTTTTTTTCTTTGTGTTTTAAAGCTAGCCACAGTTTCCTGTGCAGTCTGAACTCTGTGTCTCCAGCATGCACCCCAGTGTCATTTCCATGTGACTCAATGTGTCAAAGGTAGGTTGGTGCCTGCAGCCTGGATTTTCCTTACTGACTTACAGTGCCAGCATACACTGGGGAGTGAGGTCCCTGCTTCTGGTGGTCAAACCACTCGTGGGTCTTTGCTGGTTCACAGCAAGAGGTTGTCAGTAGTTGAACAACATTAACACAAGAATGTGCTATTTGCAGCTCTGGGACACATGGCTTCAAAATGTCATGGAGATAAAGACTTGAACAAGATTCAAATCTGGGTGCAGTGTTATATGAAAACGGGACTATTGAGGAGTAAATAATCAAAAAATATTTTGAAAGATTGCAAAGTGCCAAGTTTTGAAGATTTAAACCAGTCATCATGAACTGGCAGAATGTCTCTGAGGGAAACTTTATTCTGACCAAAGTTTTTTGCAAATGCTCCTAAACTAACACTATCAGGGTCAACCTATGGGGTCAACCTAAGCTGACCAATGGCCTGATTGATTTTTAGGTGCCAAGCAACAGAAAATAAGATTATATCAGAGCTTAATCCATTATACTTAACAGTGACCACAACTAATGTGACAGATATGATGTACAATTGCAGCAGAGAAAGCAAAACCATTTTCATGAAAAATAGAATGTGCCAACCGAGAAATGACTCAGTCTTTGCAGCATTTCAAGAAAAATATCTTTGAAACTCTGCATGCACTAACCTCATTCATATATAGTGTGAATAGTTTGGCATGTTATCTTGTCTCACAATCTCAGGTCAAAAGGAAATCACTCGTTAAAGGAAAAAACAGTAAACATGATTTAAGCACTTTTGGAAGGTGTTATGCTGGCATGCCCTCACAGTAAAGTGCTTTCGTATCTGAAGAGCAAGCACAAAGTAGATGGATGCATTTCCCTACACTGTCATGGTACTATGCCTTGCTCTCCTCCCAGAGGACTGTCCCACCTAAGGGTGAGATGTTTTTGCTGAGGGTACCTGACAGTATCTGCTGTAGCCCATGATGTGACTGATCATCCTGCCCCCACAATGAGCCTGCACAGGCTCCCATCAGCCACGAGGCAACTCTCAGGTACCAGCCCCCTCCATTTGAGCTGGAACAGCTTTCGCCTAGTGACCCAGGGAACTGCTTGTATCCCATTTCTACTGCCTTGAAATGAAACCCTCTCCTTGCTCAGCTGTCACAGGCACTCCCCCAGTGCTTGCTCAGCAGCCCCACAAGCTGCCCTGTTGCTCTCAGAGCACCTTGATAACCGACTGGTTTGCTCATTACACCTGTTGGCCCCTCCATTTGATGGTCATCAGTATTCAGCATTTACTTCTCATCCTGGTGACCTTCCCTCTGCCAGGTTGTAGCTCCAGGGACGCGAGTGGAGCTGGGGATCTATAAGGATGTTTCCACAGCAAGGAACCATGGAGGCTGCCAGCTCCTCTAACCCAAGAACTCTATATTGATGGCTATCATACTCGCATGGCCGAAGCACCCACAGCCCCACCATCCAAGGCCTGGTGAAAACATCCTGACCTTTCCTTATCAGCAAGGTGGGTCTAGATAAATGCCAAAGGACAGAAGCATGGCAGCAGCTCATATAGAGAAAATAAATTCTTCTTACTGTTACAGCTCTCAGTGACATCAAGGCAGCTTGGCTGAAGTTGAGCTCTTTACTCCAGCATTAATCTGTGCTGTTCTCATCTTATCTGAAAAGTTGTTAAGCAGATTTTCCATCTCCATTTGTGGTTTTGACACTGGTACAACAGGTATGTTTTTCCTGTGCTTAGGTTTTCCCTGGAGCTATTATCTCCTAACACAGCTCAGGAAGCTAATGATGCTTAGTTTGGAGATCTGAGTCTCCCTGACTCAGCCACATTAATTGGTGTTATCTAGCTGTCTTGTAGCTGAGGAAACCAGGTAATAGCAAGCTAATTCTTTACTGTGAAGGAATCTGTCCTCTTCTAGGTTTTGGGTGGGAGCTTTAACAGCCATTTAACTCTGTCCTTAAGGAAGGAGATCTCTCTTCAATGGGAAAAAACTCTTTTCTCAATTCCCCTTAAATTACTTATTCACAACAATTTTTAAGATAATCTGGATGTCATACTCCTATTACTATGGGACAGTACTTGTTACTTGACACACAAAGAAAGAGAGAATAGAAACAGAAGAATATTTTTTGTCTCCTTGCTTTTAGAGGTGTCTCTTCCCACAGTATACTTGTGACTCTTAATATTGCACTGTCTGCTTACCAGCTCAGAAGACAAAGTCCAGAAGTCTGCTGAATTAGGTAAGCATACGGTTATTTTTAACTGAGTTGAACATTACATGTTCATATGGCATGCTGTGCAACAGATATACACTAGTGTCATGACATTCTGTCCAGACACTTGTCCTAAATTTAGCTCTGAATTTAACCTGAGATGTAGGGCAAATAGTTAAATGTCAGTCCCGCGGAACAAACCTGTTGCTTTCTGATTTGAACTTAAAGGAGGCATAAACCTCTGATCCTTTCTCCTACATGCTCAGTCAGTGCAGGATAACGAAGCATTCTCCACGGCAATAGAAAGGAGTTCACTTGATAAGGGCTTCAGATATGGTATCTTTAACATAGGAATTTGACCACACACAGAACCAGCGCTGGGTAAATAGAGGTGGTGGTTCAGTGTCTTTTAGCACAGTCTATTCTGGTTCCTCCACTGCTCTTGTCTGCACAGCATCCAGCAATGTCCCAGGCCTGGATATCTCATTAGGGTAGCGGACCAGCACAACATGGCAGGAGTCAATGTGGATGACAGCCTCTCCTGCTGTTTTGAGTTTCTGAGCCCCATGGCAGTGAATTCACTTTCATTGGGGTTGGTCAGAAGCTTGGAGGTTCACTCCAAGCATATAGAAAGTCATAATTCCTTGAACTTCCTTGTGTTAAAAGTTATGGACATTTCTGCAAGCTGTGGAATGAGGGTGGTTTTTTTTCCGAGGTCTGTTTGTCTGTGGCATGTAAAGCAAAGACAGATCCATACATAATAAGCCTGTTGTTCTCACATCAGTGCAGGAAGGGAGAGAGAGCTGTGCAATAGGTCTTATTGCATACAACAGATACAATAGTTAGAAACAAATCAGTCTTAGTGGAATTAGAGAGTACCAGAGAAAAGCTTCAAAGGAGAGTTTGTTCATAAACTAGCCTAAGGGACCAAATGGAGAGGTAAAAAGCCATTGTATATTTCCAATGACTGCCTTAAAAAAAACCCTATGGAAATGTTTTCCATAAAAATTAATTTCACCTTTCCATCAATGCTGGTTTGGAGTCACTATTTTTTCCAGGACCTTTGCTATTCATGGCAGCCTGTGCCTTGGGCTGCCATTCTCATCCTCCTGTTCCCTTCCAGGAGCCTCAGAGCAATGTGGTTGCAGCAATATCTCTGAATTTTGTGGATTTTTTAAAGGTCAAGGAAAAGCGAGTCTTTCATCAGAATTCTTACTAACATGCATTATAACATAAGATAAATGATATTTGCACAGCAAAGAGAACTAAATGATAATGTTTATGATTCCCCTCTTCCTCCAAGGTACATATATTTGTTTATATAGTCTTTGAGTTATGCTCACTTCATATTAGCATTTCATGTTCCCTCTGAGTGATTCTTCTTTCTGTTTGAGTCAGTGGATGTGACCTTATGGTGACATTTGCAGAGAGGCAGTGACTGTAGTAGCTGCACAGTCTTCCAAAGCTCACTGGCAGGGCTGAGTCATCATATACCTGAAATGGGGCTTAGGACCCTGGATACTGGCTGTTCCCCTTGGTGGTCATGTCATATTTCCATAGGAGTGAGGACTTCATTTGGGTTATATTTGAAAGGAAAGAATTTTCTGTGAGGAGCCACTGTGCAGAGGTGGAAACTGTACACTGAGCCGAAGTCTACTCTGACACGAGGGGTTGTGTCAGCAGCCATTAAAGTGGGATAAATTCCTCATGAAAGGGGAATTATATTCTTAGTAGAGTGATCTCAAAACACCTATATCTTTCTAGCAATGAAGTATTTAGGCAGCAAAGTCAGCAAGGAATGATGTCTATCATATTCATTCCCCCTGGGCATGTGTGTCATCCTGCACCTTTTTCCGTACAAGTGCCTCTGGCTCCTCACCACTCTTAGGACACTGTGGCCAAAGCAATCATTAGTTCTTGCAAAGGAAACTGAAACCATTTTACCCAGTGGGAGTTTCTATATTCTTGTTATTTGAATTGGGGTTGTGTAGCAGGAGGCACAGGAGAGTTCCCTGTGGTTCTGGTGGTTGCATTTGAACTTTGGGAGTGTCAGATGGAAGCGCAACATGGCAGCCCTGAATGCAAAGCTCTGGTCACTGGAATACGATGGTAAAATGTGTGTGCCCTAGCTCTACACTCTCGGCGAAATATGCCACTGAAAACATCTTGCTGTCTTTCTGTAGCAAAAAAGTTTAGCCCAGATCTAAGTAACAATGGAACAGTTCCATGTAATTGGTGCACAAAGAGGTATGCTGTTCTGAGGCAAAGTATTATGAGGATTTTCTGTCTAGGAACTGTTACTGTCAAAACTAATCACCATTTTCTTACTTTCAGAACAGCCACACGTGAGTGTTTGGATGCAGTTGAGTTAGTCACCACTGGCAGATACAGTCTATGGAATACAGTTTGTGGTAATGTCCATTTTCATATGCATTTCATCATGTGATGGCACATCTGTGGCAGCTCTGCACACAGCACGGATCGGTAAAAAGCTCACCAGTCCCCTGGGATGCACAAATCAACTTTGTTTTTTCGCAAGCCTCAGCTGCCTGATTCGGCTGTGTAGCTTAGTAGAGATCAAGCACTACTTAGTTCAACGAAAGGAAGGAGAGACCCTGAACAAATCCAAAAATTAAAGAAATGTTAAATGTGTTATGCTAACCTGACTTCTGCTGGCTGTTTTGAGGAAACATGAAGAATAAGCTATCTTGCTGTACATTTTGCCATTCATTTTGACGTGGTCATCCTTTTCTTCTCACAGATTCAAGTCTCTTCCACTGTTTGTGACATCCTAGCTGACTCCCCCATCAGCACGAGTCAGCCATTTCCATCACTCTTATTTAAAGGTAAAGCAAATGGATCTAATATGCAGTATCTGAGTCTGAAATTTGTCCCAGAAAATAGTGTAAATTTACATATTTATTTTTGCAGGTGACATTTGTAACCTATTGGAATGTCTTGGGGTTAAGCTGAAAATGCAGATTTGTAACTTTGTATGCCCCAGGGGAAATATTAACAAATATGATGTAATGCTAATAAGTCATAATGATTGTTATTATTATGTTTTGGATGTGTTGTAATAAAGACACAACACAGTTTTATTGGGAAAAAAATCGGTCCCCAAATCTATGATTTCATTTCTGTATTGTATTATTTCTGTAATTAAAATTTCAAACTTCTATGAGGTCTTCCTCTGAGGATTTCACAGATACTAATTATATAAGGTCTTATTCAGCAATCTCTATCCATATAAGTAGTCCTCTTGGCTTCCCATCTGCAAGGAATTTTGGACTGTTGTCTGAAGTTAATGCATTTGGTTATTTCCACTTCACTAATATAGAAAATGACACCCAGAGGAGTTAAATGATTTACTCAAGACAAAAGGAAGAGTTAGTGGTATCTGAAAATAGATCTTCCAAAGCAGAGTCCTATGCTTTTATTGGAAAATTGTGCATCAGCATTTATAGCAGCTTTGAGTACATCAAGGGGTGCATAGAGCTCTGCAAGGAAGCTGAGGATTGTTCTTGCTTCAAATGGTGGGGGAACCACCTGCAACGTTCATGGCCAATGGGACCTTGAGCCCCAGTATCTTTGTGCTAATCAATAAGTCCATTCTGAAAGACACAGACACCCTTGCCTGCACAAAATGTGAATCTGCATCACAGTATCAGCATTTTTCTTGAGTTGGGTGATCAAGCAGACCGTGACAGGGGCGTGAATTTGGTGAGAGATTGACAAAAAGCCAGCAGAAGGGTTAAATGTGGGAGATATTCACTCTTGGTTTTAAGCCAAGGCTAATTTCAGTCTTGAAGTAGTATTAGGGTAAAAAAAGCACTGGGTATTGTTTAAAAGTCACAGAGGGTTGGCTGACGTCTTGTCAAGGGCGTAAGAATTTCACACACTTTCGGTGATGACATCCAGGGCTCCTTTGCCTGTCCCAGTAACTGCTGAATGACCTTAACTGTGGACAAAACAACAGCCCCAGCTCTAGTTATGAGGGACAGATAGCTTTTTGGACAGCAGGGAAGGGAGATGTGTCATGTGCTGGCCATCCTCTCATGCTGGAGCACAATGGATTGAGGAGCAAGCATGGAGAGGGAATGATGCTGGTCCTGTAAGCCTCTACAAAAGAAACAAATGAGTTGGAAGGACTTGCATATTAGTGGATGATATGGTTTGGCTACATTTTTTCCCTTCAAGCTTGTTCCTGCTAAACTTTAGATGGGGGCGTTTATGCATTGACTGGGAATGTACAGGTAGCCTGAGGCTTCATAAGGTACTCAGAAAGGATTGCAGACCCACTGCAATCTAGGCTTTATTCTATCTATATGCAACATTTTGCCATGGCAATCAGTAAAGCAGAAGCTGAAGGAAAAAGCATAGGCATCATTTTGACATTGTGTTATCAAAATAGTTTCCCTTCATTCATTGCATTATCTGGACAAACACATGGAAATGTTCCCAAACTGAGTATTATTATCCCAATGTTCCAGCTGATCCAAGTGCCAGTTCTCCTATATGTGCCTGACTCTTTCTTCTAACTTGCCAGCTTGCCCTCTTCCAGATGTGGGGAAGATGGCTTCCACTTCCCATTTATGGCCTCAAGGAGTCTGACAGAGGGTCTGTTGTTCACATTTAAGTGGTACAAGAGCAGTTTTTTTCCGCAAGTAAGCTCTTACAAATACTACTTGGAACAGATTCACAACTGCTTTTGTCATCTTTTGGAATCCTGAAGTCTCCAACTTGTAGCCTTAAAAATATATGAACAACTCTAAAACATCAGTAAATACACATGTAATGTTTGGCTATTTTGTTTAACAAGCATCAGTTAAAAGAAAAGTAAAGGGAGCTCACTTCCCCCAAGTAAATAAAACTCTCCAGGACAGCATATTTTACTTCAAAATTATATGGCAATTTTTTTTTTCTTCTTTAGGTTCCAGAAACATGTCCATATATGGTCTACTTGTCAGGGACAATAAATAATGATGTAATAAAAAGTTCAGCTTTGT